AGCCCTCGACCTCCAAGATGCCTATTTCCATGTAACCATCCGCCCCTCCCACAGATGCTACCTACGCTTCACGTTGGGACTGGACCATTTCCAGTACAAGGTTCTTCCCTTCGGTCTCTCATCAGCTCCGAGGGTATTTTCAAAGGTACTGGCGGTTGTAGCTGCGTATCTCAGACGGCAGAATGTCATCATATTTCCCTATCTAGACGACTGCCTTCTAAAGGGATCCTCATACGCTGAAACCGCCTCTATGATACATACGACCACGGCCCTCCTCAGTCGTCTAGGCCTTCTAATCAACCAAGACAAATCAATTCTGCACCCGGTTCAAGATATAGAGTTCATTGGCGCATGCCTGGACTCAGTTACAGCCCGGGCATACCTACCTCAGCAACGCTTTGCAACCATGCAAGAAATTATAAACGGGATGCTCACAGTCCCTACCACCACAGTACTTACATGCCTCCAACTAATGGGACACATGGCTTCTACCACCTACGTAGTCCACCATGCTCGTCTGCACTTTTGGTTTTTTGAGTTCTGGATTGCAACCGTTTATATCCCATCACGACACCCTCGAAACAAAACGGTTACTATCCCACCAGACGTGCTCACATCCTTACGATGGTGGACAGTGCCAAACAATCTTCTGGCGGGGGTTCCGTTCCAACAAATCGAACCCACTATTCAAATCACCACAGATGCTTCCCTGCTCGGCTGGGGGGCACATATGGATGGTCACGCAATTCAAGGCAGGTGGTCCCCAAACGAGACACTCTTACATATCAATCTTCTCGAATTGAGGGCAGTAAGAAATGCCTGTGCACACTTTGCCTCTGACATCGCCAATCACACAGTCCACATCCTAACGGACAACATCTGCGTGATGTTCTACATAAACAGACAGGGTGGAGCCCGCTCCCGCTCTTTATGCGCAGAGGCTATTTGTGGAACATGTGCATCCGCAACCAAGTCACCCTTATAGCATCCTACCTGCCCGGAGTGAACAATACCAAAGTGGACTCTCTCAGCCGAAACTTCACCGCAGACCACGAATAGGAGTTACATACGGAGGTGGCGAACTCAATTTTCCACCAGTGGGGATGGCCATTGATAGACGTCTTTGCTTCTACCCAGAACACCAAATGTCCCCAATTCTGCTCACGTGCGGGACTTGGCAAACACTCTCTGGGAGATGCCTTCCTGATCAATTGGACAGCCTCCCTACACTACGCCTTTCCTCCCATACCGCTCATCCCCAGAGTCCTGCGCAAGATCCTGAGGGACAAAGCCCTAGTCATCCTGATTGCGCCATCATGGCCTCGACAAACCTGGTACCCAT